TAATTACTGTATTATTTATTGTAAACTAGCTGAACCGCCGAATTTCGTACCGCCCTACAATTAAGTAATGTATCTAAGTTCAATAAACTCTTTTTTAGAGTCTGTTTAGTAACAGAAATCTCTGAGTAATGAAATGAATCCAGTCGAGGTGTCAATAGTGGCTTTATCATTTCCAATATCTAACAACTATTTAGAAACACAATTACATTTTGATCTTGTTGTCGCCACAAATTGGATGATGTTAGGCATGCGTTTAGAGTGTCCGCAGTTAATTGGGGAATAATTTTTAAATAAGGGACAGTCTGACAATAGAACCATATCTTACCAACAATATTTTTGATTACCACGAATATACCAGTCTGGTTTTTCATTTATTTGTATGTTATATGGTAATTTCAAGGCAAAATGTTCAATTCGTCTGCCTTCTAAGTAAGTTGCAGATATTCCAGATGAAGCCAACGCTAGGGCTAGGCGATCTGATCCTTGCCAATAACAATAAAATTAGTAATGTTTTTTCTGTCAATTCCGGAGCATCAAAGAATTCAATTTCACCAAATACAATGTTCACAGCTTCTTTCAAAGTTGTTCACAGAATCCTTTGTTGTTGATTCAATTGTAGAAAATTTGTATAAATTATTTCGACTAATGCTTCAGTGTTGAACGTTGTTCTCTTTCATAAAGTCAAATGACGAATCTTAAGTTGATGTCCAAAAACTGCTATTTTTAATTGTAACTGAAGAAAATGAAAAAATACATAAAGAATGGTCCAAACAAACAGTGAACATGCAGAAAGAAAAAGCATTTTATTGATAAATGTATATAGGAACGCTCGACTGTTGGTCGACTACTTATAAAAAAGGAACAATAAATAACAGGTGTTATAACGTTTTGTTACAATAACTTAGCAATAAAATGAAAGAGAAAGACCACATTTCATAAAGAGGAAAGTTGCTCTTCTTGCTTCAGATTTGGCTCCAAGCAATTGCTATGTTTCCAAATTTCAAAAAATGTATCGAGCAGTAGTCGGTTTGGTATGGGATCCATATTTTTAGTCGAATTCCCAATGTAGGTAAATCTTCATAGAGAGTTAACAATAATTTACCTTAGAAAGGTTCGTTGGTACCAAACTATCTACCGCGTGGATATATTTATTTTTAGTTTCAGCTAGTTTGTACATATCTTCAATGTCTATGTGCGCTATATCTTCCAGTATGTATATATGAAAAATATTTTAATAAATTATCTTGTGTTCTTTATTTTTTTATTATTATAACATTTATTATTATTTTTTAAATGGTTAAAGTTTAGTTGGGTGTCACATTGTATTGTACATAATCTTAAAGATGGTCTACATCTTAGATTAATGAAACAGTTTCATTAACCTCAGATCCACATATATGTTATTAAGTTTCTGTGTACTGAGGATCAGATAGCTTGGTTAGCAATAAAATCAAATAGGTTATTTGCTTTCGTAAATTGAAGTGGAAGGACTCAGTACGATGCTGTTATCGACAACGTTCTTCTTCTTCTAGTTCCATGACCGTTATCGATCGTTGGATATCATGTTTGCTACCATATTGTATGTAGTTGATTTTTCATACCATTGCCTTAGATTTTTCAGCCATGATGTTCTTCTTCTACCAGGACCACGATTACCTTGGATCTTTCCTGAATGATCAGATGTAAAAGATCATATTTTTTCAGGGTGTCTCATAATATGACCGAAGTATTCCAGCTTGCGTTTCTTTATTATATTGACCAGTTGTGTTGTTTGGTTCAGCCGTCTAAGGACCTCCTCATTTCTAACTCTGTCGACCCAGCTTATTTTCAGTAGTCGTCTGTATACCCACATCTCAAAGGCTGTCAAGCGTTTAAGCAGAGCCTCAGTTAGAGTCCACGCTTCTACTCCATACAGCAGGACAGGAAAGATGTAGCAAGATATCATACGAACTCTAAGGTCAATGCTAAGATCGTGACTGCAAAGTACGTTTCTCATTTTTACAAAGGCAGCTCGGGCTTGTTCTATTCGGCTTTTAATTTCTGCAGTTGGATCCCAGCTCTCATTGATATTACTGCCGAGATACACGAGTTTCTCTACTCTGTCCAGTGTGGCATCTCCGACTTTTTTACCGTCATCATGTATATAATTTTGTTTGCTAACTATCATATATTTAGTTTTCTTAACGTTGAGTTTTAATCCATACTGATTCACAAGTCTGTTTTATTTTGTTCATTAGATTTTGAAGGTCTTCTCCGCAATTGGCAAGGACTAAGGTATCGTCGGCATATCTAATATTGTTGACGGTTACTCCATTCACAATAATACCTTCGGTTGTCTCCATTAAGGCTTCCTTAAATATTTCCTCCGAATATAAGTTAAAAAGTAAAGGCGACAATATACAGCCTTGTCTCACTCCTCTTTTTTATATTTATTTCATCCGACAGTTCTTGTTCAACCTTTATTCTTGCCACTTGATGCCAGTATAGATTTGTAATTATACGTAGATCATTATCGTCCAATCCAGCTTGTTTCCCAATATTTCTAGCATTTTGTTATGTCGGACTTTGTCAAAAGCTTTTTCAAAATCGATTGCATATTTTGATTTATAATCTCTGCATCTCTGTACTAGCACCTGTATACTAAACAAGGCTTCTCTTGTACCTAAGCCATTCCTAAACCCAAATTGAGTATTGCTAATTCTGTCCTCTAACAGCGTGTAAATTCTGCTGTGTATTACTCGCAGAAAGATTTTCAAAACGTGACTCATCAGACTTTAACCAATCAGTTGGTAATATCCCAGTGTCATAAATTCTGTTAAAGAGATTACACAGAGCTTTAATTCCATTTTCTCCCAAAAAACTTTAGTATTTCAGCACTTACTTCATCGGGGCCAAGTGCTTTTCCATTTTTTGCCGTTTGTATTGAACGTCTTACCTCACTTTCTGTTATAGATGGACCTGATATAGCAATCGGTGTATAGTGTTCTACTCTCTCATGTTCAAATAATTCAGAAATGTAGTTTTTCCATTCTTTTAACTTTTCATTGATGTCTAATATTCTGTGTACGTTTCTGTCTTCTAAACTTTGGGATACTTGTTTCCATTTGTTTCCAGCGACCTCTTTCAATTTCTTGTGCAGATGAAATGTATCGTGTTTCTTTTCATATTGTTGAATTTCATTACATTCTTTACTATGAAATTGTGTTTTCGCGTGTCTTATCTTCTGCCTGATTATTGCGTGGATCCTCTTGTATTCGTTTTTATCTTTATTTCTGACTTCTCTTCTTTGAAACACAAAGATTCTCTTCTTTGAATCGACAACGTTAATTTTCTTTTAAAAAACATTGGATATGAAATAAATCGTGTTGCTATATTTAGAGAGGAGTCCTGATATCTCGTAGAGTAATAAGCGTATCTCGCTTACTTGACAGCTAATTCCAATTAATTATCTTAAGTGTATTAAGAAAATATTTATAAATAGACTCAGAGATTGGGTCGAAGATAATAATGTTCTTCCCGAATATCAGTCAGGGCTCAGGAGATCAACTGCGACTGAAAAAACGCAAAGTATTGCTGTATTTGTAGATTATAAACGGGCGTTTGACCCCATTATCCATCATCTCTTGTGACAAAATCTATTTGAATTTGGGGTGAGTTCTAAAATAATAGCCATATTGAAAAACATATATGATAACGCTAGAATCTACATCAAAACTATAAACGGTTACACAAGACCATTTGTTAACACAACAGGAGTCTTACAGAGAGAAGCCAAGCGTCAAAAGCTATCTTCATCGATAGCAAAAATCAAATAATAATGCTACTGTGCTCTGATGACTTGGTCATCCTTTTTGACTTATAAGTTAAACTCAGTAAAAATTTAAGTTATCTAGAGAAATACAGCGACCAAAACAAGCTAACTGTAAATGTTGGCAAAACCAAAGTTCTTCCATTTGCCCGAAATGGTCAAATCGGCAGTGGGGGTGTTAAATTCCTATATAAGAACGAAACAATTGGAGTTGTCAAAAAATTTGTATACCTAGGAGTCACTCTAGCCACAATATCACTTTTTAAAGTAATGGTCGATACAAAAGTGGTAAGAGCAAAACATGCAATTGGCAATGTTATAGGTTTAAAGGTTTAATGGCTAAAACCAAAATGAATTCTTGAACATCTCGTGTGCTACTTTTCGATTCGTTAGTTCAAAGCCTTGTTATGAACTGTGTATCTTTTTGAAGAATGAGATATGCTGACCAGTTAGAAAAAAAATACACCTGATTAAGCTGTTAGGTTGAAAACAGGAAGACGTAAATTTCTTTCTAATTGACTGAAGGAAACATTTCTAACTGGCTAAAAAAACGAGAAAAGCATGTTAAAAAAATATATATGGATATGCTTATATCCATATCACGCTTGCCAAAATAATAAAAATTTGAAAGTAGCAGTTTAAAATCTAGTATTGAATACCAAGCTATTGAACCTTAGAAAATCAGAATATTGGTAGATATACCTATTTATATAGATAGGTATAGACTTTCATTTGTGAACCATCTTTAAGTTTTAAATATAAAACCTAAACGATATCAAAAGTATCTTACGAATAATTTTTTTTATGTATTTATTATTCTTACGACAATTTTTTTAAGCTTTTTTAGACATAATACAACTTAACCGTCAAGATGTATTGATGCCTTTAAAATATTTTTTTGTGAATTGTTGTTCACAATAAAGGATCTGTGTGAAAACAAGCAGTATCAACATATTTGCTTTTTTATATACTTGAAACACTTTTTAAGAATTTGCTTTTAAAACTTGAGGCTAAATCTTTCCTTAGCTATTCTTATCTGTTTTTAATTATGTCTTTCAAATGAAAATTAATGAATAAGTAAAAACTATAAAAAATTATAAATACATTTTTAATTATATCAACTTTTGATATTGTAGAGAGTTTTGTATTAAACACTGTAATAATTTAACTTCTAATATATAATTTCTTTTAGAAAATCAGATCAAGCAGCCCAATTAAGTCCATATATAGATTATGGAGACGAAATGTCGTCAGTAGATCAACCGACCATCTTCAGATTCGTTTTAGCCTGCTGGTATCTTATAATGAGCAGATCAGAAATTGTTTGCTACTTTGTTATCTTCTTTAACCAACTTCGGAACTCGAATTTGATATCTCTGCCTCTACCTCTCATGGTATTCTTTTGGGGATCTTTAACCATACCAAGACCATCGAAAACGTTCTGGGTTACGATAATAGCGTACACTGAAGTCGTCGTATTGTTAAAATTGGTCTTCCAATTTGATATCATGCCTGGGAATAGAATGAGGGAGCATACAGAATTCTTAACGTCAGTTAGTGAGAGCAATCCATTTTATCCGCCAGTTTTGATTGGTCTACATAAGACTAAAGATATGCAGGCTGTATGGGATCTCTTGTTGCTGCTAGTAGTATTTTTCCACAGGTCAGTGAATAATTTTTGTATACGATCTTTAATCTCAATGTTTAAACGTTACTCTATATAATTCACATAAATACGAGTGTAGTTTACAGAGTAGATGAAAATAGACACCGTTTTGTACTAATTATATCATATTTTATATAATATTTTAGAGTTCTTTTGAAGTCTATGGGCATATGGAGTTCAACGGCACCAGTAACAGCAGCCCTTATACCCGATGGCGATTATAAAGTTGATGACGAACAGTTAATACCTTTAGATGATAATATAGAAGAAGACGACGAAATAAAGTAAGCGAACAATATAATTATTCACTTATGACTTGACTATCGACCTTTTTCGGATATTTTGGGAACTTAAAATAGTTTCTTGTCGAACATAAATATTTCTAATATCGTTTTCATTCGATGTATTTAACGCTACTTGATGCCCATAATATCGGTTTCGTGCACATTTTAACGTATATTAATCATTCCAGTTTTGGAAAATCTCCGGTTCTATATGAAACCGAGATTTGAACCAAAACTTTCCGAACAAGTAAAGGTTAAGTTTGGATGGGGTAATTTTATTCAGCTTTTATATCAATATTTGGATATGTGCGTACATTATATATTCCATACACTTCTTCCACATGATAGTACTATAGTAATTCTTCTTTTTTAAATTTTGTCTTCATCACGAAAATTAAGAAATCGATACAACAATTCACATAAATTTCTCAACCACAGCAATCGTGTGCTTTAGATACTTTTCTACTCAATATGTAATTTCCATTAATGATTATCATAAACTCCTCTTACTACAATTATTGTTTTCTCGGTAATTCCAATTTTTGTTTAATATTCATATTGGTCACTTTGTTCATCCACGATAACCTTAAAATTCATATATGAATTATTTTCATTATGAAGTATCTGACTACTACAAGATAATCAAAAAGGAGAACGGAGTTTTACCCTAGGACAAAATGTTATTCCGAGGCATAATCCTGTTTCTATGAGCTGTATGGGTTTAAAGTCTAACAGTAGGGTGCTAACCTGGATGTAAACCCTCGCCTCCTTTATTCAGACTTGGAACCGGCAAAAATTATGTGAGCTACTCGATCCTTCGAACGAAACTGCAGAAATATTGTGGAGCAGTAGCGACATCGATTAACAACATTAATTAAAAAAATTAAATATTGGACAATAAAATACTGGAAGAACGGAGAACTGGCGAACTAATTCTACTGTTCAAAAAAGGAGATAAAAAACCGCCAGACAACTACAGAGGTATAAATTTTTAAATACTAACCCAAAACTTACAACTGAAAATTTTAAAAGAACTAATGAATCAAACAGAGGATCAGTTCAGCAGATGAACAACAGGATTTTCATACTGGAAGAATGTGTACAGATGCAATATTCGTTATAAAGCAAATTACGAAAAAATCATTAAAGTATAATAGACCAGTATTTCTGTGTCTGATTTACTTGAAGAAAGCATTTGCTGAAGCAAAACTCAAAGGTGTAACCAATCTTCGTATAATAGAGAAGTTCCCCTAAATATTATAAAAACTATTGAAAACATCTACCAAAACAACAAGATGAAAGTCAGGATAGATGGACAACTTAACAGAACCTGTAGAAATAGGTAGCGGAATGGGGACTCATTGAGCCTTATGCTCTTCAATTTAATCATAGATGAAATCATCAAAAGTGTGAACAAGGAAGAGGATACAAAATGGAAAGACGAAGACGACGCAATATTGATAGCATCGAGTTAGAATCTATGGAGAAGCTATGAGCATATTATATAGTTCAGCTCAACAGGCCTCAAAGGCCCAAGGCTTCAACGGTTTTCTTCCATTTCTTTCTATCTTGTGCTAAGTTTTTTCCAATCTTGTACCCGCAGCGACTTCAGATCTTCTTTTGCCGACTCCAGCCATTTTCTTCGGGGGCGGCCTCTTTTTCTTTTTGTACCAGCCTCCGTGTTTATAATTCATTGGGAGCTCTTCCTTCCTTCATTCTTGCTATATGCCCGAGCCATCTTAATCTTTGAATTTTCGCGAGTCTTGTTATTTTTGGTTGCCCATATATTTGCATTATTTCTTCATTTGTTCTTCTTCGCCAGATGTTCCCCTCTTTTACACCTCCGTATATCCTTCTAAGAATTTTTCGTTCCCATCTATCTAATTTTACTTCCATATCTTTATTTAGTGTCCAGGTCTCGCTAGCATAGAGTACTGTACGTCGGATAACTGTTGTATATATTCGTTTTTTTGCTGTTCTGGATATTATCTTCGACCTCAGTATCTTAGTCAGGCTCCCAGCACTCTTACTACCTTTAGCCATTCTTTTTATGATTTCTTGGTTCTCTTCGTTCCTATTTGTTAGTGTCACTCCCAAATAGTCGAATTGGCTAACAACTTCAAAGTTATATGCTTTACTTGGGCTTTGTACCTTAAAGGACTCTCCTAGATGATTTTCGTTTCCCCTCATCACCATATATTTTGTTTTTTCTTCGTTTATTTCTAAACCATATTCTCTGGCTATTTCTCTCTATTCTAATAAAGATTTCTCTTAATTCTGCAGGTCTCCTTGTTATTAAGGTAACATCATCTGCATATGCTACACATTGATGCCTATTAACCTATGTATAATGAGCATGATGCTAATGAGCATATTAACGTATGTATTAAAAACGGCATAGGTAGGAGTGGCTAACGATAATACCAATATGGCGGTGACATCAGGGCCAGACTCAATAATAATAAAACTACTATACAAATATGGCTAGTTATTCAGAAGATTTAATCATAATCTAAAAAAGTTCAATACATTTTTAATAAACTATGATTTATTTATCCGCGGTAAACACTAAAAACACGATATATTATATATAAAGATAAATTAATACAGTCAAATAGTATTAATTTATTTTCTGAAGTACGGGCCATTACTTTGTTTACATATTTGTATACTAACCTGTGGAACGATATTTCTGAAGATTTTTTATTAACATTACTTCTGCTACTGCAACTACGTTGAGAACAAAGAAACCATTATTATGCACTATCACAATATATTACAGTTTCTATAAAATTATTATAAAACTGAAAATATTCGAAAAACAACAAATATAACCAAACATATACGATCTGTCAAAAGTTTCAAAACAATAATACCAATATGGCCGAAGTTCGGTCGTTTTTAGTCACGTGATGCCCTCCTCCATAGATTCTAACTCGATGATTGATAGCCTAAGATAAGGATAGTCTGCAAAGACTAGTCCACAAAGTTAACATATGACCAAAAGAATTTAACATGACAATCTCAAGTGAGAAAACTAAAAACAACAGTAATCAGCAAAGAACCTATCAGATGTAAAATAGAAGTCGATGGTATTTAAACAAATAATGGAAATAAAATATTTTGGAGTTATACTTTCCAGCTATAGAGTCCTGGAAAAAGATGTGAGAGATCAAGTACAAAAAACAAATAGACTGGCAGGATGCCTTCTTTTCTTCTTCGTGTACCATGTCCTTTCAGAACGTTGGTTACCATCATAGCTATCTTAATTTTATTCACTGCCACCCTAAATAGCATGCTTGTATCAACACCATACCAATCTCGCAAGTTCTTCAACCATGAGGTTCTTCTTCGTCTTGGACTGCGTTTGCCTGATATTTTTTATTGCATGATATTTTGTAGCAACGTATATTTGGACTCTCATTACATGTCCGAAATAATCCAGCTTTCTGTGATTGATGCTTTTTATGATCTCAGTAGTCTTGCTGAGACGTTCTAGTATTGTGCAGATTCAAATTTTCTCTACCCAGGCAACTTTTAAAATTCTCCTATAGCACCACATTTCGAAAGCCTCAATGCGATTTAGATCGATTTTATTCACAGTCCAGGACTCGACACCATAAAGTAAGACCGAGAACACGTAGCAGCGAAGTAGGCGGATCCTCAATGCCAATTTTAAATCTTTGTTACATAACACCTTGGACATCCTTCTAACAGCAGCTCTAGCCTGCTCTATCCTAGATCTAATTTCCCCTTGACTTTCTGCGTTACAATTTAATTGCTGTCCAAGGTAAACGATTTTATCAACTTGCTCAAGTTTGGTGGCCTGAATGGCCAGATGCCTTAGTAACACTATATGGCGAAATCGACATATTAACACTGAGAAGAATCTTAAGGATATCATGGACGGACAAGATAACCAACGAGACTGTACTACGAAGAATGGGAAAGAAAGAGAGGTGATGTATACCATTAAAAGGAGAAAGTTAGAATATCTAGGACATATAATGAGAAGATATTCCCGACATATCAACGGCTGAAATTTACCATGCTCTAAAGAAAATGAAAAAAAAAACAAAGCACCAGGAGAAGATGGAGTAGTGGCGGATGCGCTAAAAATCGGAGGCTATGCTCTCATCAGGACAATCAAGCAGCTCTTCAATATATGCTTAGAAAACGAAGCAATACCAGCTGAATGGAATAATTCTATAACGCTCCTCATGCATAAGAAAGGAGATCAAACAGACCTCGAAAACTATAGGCCAATCAGTCTTCTAAGTCACCTGTATAAATTATTTGCTCGAATTATCACTGCCAGAATTGAGAACAAACTAGAAACATGTCAACCAAGAGAACAGGCAGGTTTCCGCCCTGGGTATGGTACAAATGACCATCTAACTTGTCTAAAGGCCCTAATTGAAAAAACTATAGAGTACAACCGGCCACTAGTTCTAGTATTTGTTGACTATAAAAAAGCCTTTGACACTATCGAGATGGTAGCTATCTTAAGAGCTTTGAGAGATTGTAGAATCGACTACCGATATACCAGCATTATTCAACATATATATGCAAATGCCACAACAGCAATAAACCTCCACACCCCTACTCAAAAAATAAAACTAAAAAGGGGAGTTAGACAAGGAGACAACATGTCACCAAAACTATTCAATGCCGTAATGCAGCATGCATTCCAGATGTTAGAATGGGAAAACAGAGGTTTGAGTGTCGATGGCGAAATGCTGAACCACCTACGATTTGCAGATGACATAGTTCTAATAACCGACGACCTAAAGGAGGCCAACGAAATGCTACAAGATTTACAACGAGTCTCCCAAAAAGTAGGGCTGGAAATAAACTTTGCGAAAACTAAAATGATCATGACCAACTTAGTACCTAGTGGACCATTGAAACTAGAAAACTGGCATATTGAAACGGTTGACAAATATATATATCTGGGCCACGAAATACAAATAAGTAGAGACAACCAAACATGCGAATTATCTAGAAAAATAGCTTTAGGATGGGCAGCCTATGGCAAGCTAAAAGACGTGTTTAAGGAAAACATCCCAATAAAGCTAAAGAGAAAAGCATTTAACCAGTGCGTACTTCCGGTGCACTTATGGAGCTGAAACACTGACATTGACTAAAGCATCAATAAAAAGTTACAAGTAGCACAACGAAAAATGGAAAGATCTATGCTTGGCGTAACTTTGGGAGACCGAATACGAAATGATGAGATACGGCGAAGAACTGGAGTGGAAGACGTCATAAAACGGATTACGAAGTTGAAGTGGAAATGGTCAGGACACGTCGCAAGACAGAGAGACAACAGATGGACAAAGAAGATTTTAGAATGGCAGCCAAGGGCAGACAAGCGAAATCGTGGAAGACCACCTACCAGATGGACGGACGACATTAAAAGAATAGTGACAAACTGGATCGCAGCTGCACAGGATAGAGAAGAGTGGAGACATCTTGAGGAGGCCTATGTTCGACAGTGGACAAATTTGGCTGTGTGATGATGATGATGATAATGAGAAACGGCACTAAATACAGATTACTGAAAATAATTCTTCAAGGCAAAGTATTCGGAAATCGAGGAATTAGGAGAAGAACATTATGGTAAAAAAACCTGAGGAAATGGTTCTCCACAACAACAACAAATCTATTTAAAACATTAGTTAATAAAATAATTATAGCCAGAATGATCGCCAATATCCGAAACGAATAGGCACCAAAAGAAGAAGAAGTCAAGAATTTATAAATCCAGTGTAATGGACATTAAACAAAAAAAAGAATGGAATAACCACATAAACAGAATGGCGGAGATCCGTGTGGTCAAAATAGCGAGAGATAAAATCGGTAGATTGGGGATTTATCCTTTCTTCTTATATGGAACTTTTTTGTCTTATTCAGATCCCACCACAAAACGTTGACCACCACAAAACGTTGAGATGCTCGTTTCATTCTATCCCATTTTTCCATGTCCAATTTGAGCGTATGCCTCTTATCTGCATATATATGAGTTATCCGTCTTTATACACAAATATACGGAATCTACAATTTATTTCCAAACATCTACGTGTAGAGGATCTGTACTAACCTAATTACTGAGTGATTTGCTAATAGCCTCCCGAAAGAGTACCTTGAATTACTTTTTGTGTTTCTGACCGTAGTGAGAGTCAAAACCACATAATTCGGCGCCACAAGCTGATACACTCACCTATGATGATTTCATATACTAATAAAATCGAATGAATTGGTTCTTCTTTCGATTAACTGCTGTTAAAAATATGGATGATTTTACAATAGTATTTTCGCTAATATTTATAAATGCGGAGAATATTCTAAATCAGCCTTCATAACTGATAGATTACATAAGTGTTTATAAACAATTGTTTTTAGATCTGATGAAAGTCAACCATCCACTTCTACTCCAAAGTCCAAGTCTGCCAGAAGACATTCAGTGGAACAAGAAGATGTTGTAGTAATAAAAAGTGCGAGATTAAGAAAAATACATAATGCCGTCATGGCAATTCGTATGGGGTAAGTTTTTAATGCATCATGATGAAAACTTTTTCTTTCATTATGATAGTTTAAAGCAATATTCTATGGCATAAGACATAACTTAATATCACCACCTAACATCAACAAATTATATAACGTCGTACGTTGGCTTGAAGTCGACGAGTAGGTGATGGGTTTTAATGTTAAATTCTAATGTTCTCTCGAGAATTTATCTTATTGAATAAATCTACTCAGTTGTTGATTTTTTTGGAGTGTATTCGACCCGGGATTTTCCTGTTATCCCCACTGTGTAAACTTATGGCCGTTGAGGCTATTTGCTAGTATCTTATTAGCAGTTGTTAACAAGGTTATATATCTGTAGTTGTCACACTGGAGGAGCTGGTCGCCTTTTTATGTAACGCGTATATCATGCCTTGAGAGGGCATAGTCTCATTTTGCCAGACAATAAATAAAAGTTTTTGCAGTGTATGTAGTAGGGCGTCGCCACAATTCTTATAGAGCTCACTGTAGATTTGATCAGTTCCTGCAGATTTATTATTCTTAAACTTTTTAATGGCTTGTGTCAATCGAAGAAACAGACATGACCCTAGCAGATCATTAGTTTTGTCATTAATAAACAGTTTTATTACCTTAGATTCTATATTTACAGTTTTACTTAATCACAAATCTTGTCAAGTTGTCAATTTAACTCCTGCTTTGGGCTCAATTCCAATGTTTCTTTCATTTTTACACAAGCTGCACGTTTCAATTTTTTATATATTTTCAATATATTTCTCCATATATTATAGAACACAGCAAGTCCAATTAGGTTTTCCATACAGACATCGCCAATTTTTCATCCCACACATAAATTCAACCACCATCTAATGATGCTTTTGAGTTACTTATATTTGTACCTAATCAATTTAATATTTTTTGTGTGTATTAAAGAACTAAACTATGTTATATTTACAGACTGCCAAAGCATTGTACATAAACTGAAATATAATTTATATAATTTTGTAGAAAATTATATAATCAGTGACATCATAGCACTGAACAGTGAAGCTTTGAAATCAGGCAAAAATATCATATTGTGCTGAATAAAAGCACATATTGGTATAAAAAACAACGAAATAGTAGATGATCTGGCTAAAAAAGCGACAACGAAAGAATCCACTCTGCAAACCTATAAACTTCCTATGGGAGATTTACTATCTGTAATCAGGTCTCTCAATTGGACAAAATGGCAGGGATACTACAATAATTCAGACAAAGGCAAATTTTATAAAATAATTCAATCCACAATTTCCTTCAAGACATGGTTTAAACAAGGTTCCAATAGAGGCTTCATCAAAACTATTTGTAGAATAAGAAGCAATCATTGTATGACTCCGGTCTATAAAAGAAGAATGGGACTGGCAAATAATAATGAATGTATATGTCGAGAGCCAGCTAATCTACAACATATGCTGTTAAAATGTCCTTTACATTTTATTGAAATATCAATTTTTTTACCAAGCTAGTTCAAGTTAATGTTCAATTACCTTCTAATTTAACACATCTTTTACAGTCAAAGAATCTAGATGTATATAAAATTGTATATAGTTATATTAATTGCTTAAAATTAAAGATCTGACAAAAAAAAACGATAAAAAAAATAATAAAGAATAAAAAAAATGAAGAACAAAATAAAAAAAATAAATAAAATAAAAAAAAAGTTACTAAGAAGATCTAAACCTCCGAGGTGTCGAATCGGGTTTATGTCTTAGCGTAGTAATAAAAAATAAATAAATAAAAAAAATAAAATAAAAAAATTTAAAAAAAGGTAAAAAAAGTAAAAAACGTAAAAAAGTAAAAAAAATAAAAAATAAAAAAAAAAGATACAAAAAACAAAACAGCAAAAACAGAGTAAACTAGTAAGTAAGTTTCTAACATTCCATGTCTTTACTGTCAATACAATACAATAGTTTTAAATGTAAATACTAACAATATCTTGTGTAAAGAGAGAACTCAAAACAAATTGACTGGCCAGGTGGTTGTCAAAACCAGTGCCAATAAAACAAACACACACACAATATTTTTTGTTTCGTTATTCAAAATTTTCATAATTTCACACTTAATTTCACTCTCATTAAAATAAAATTTCAACCTGCATACCATCATAGTTGTATCATTTTTTCTACACTGTATATTGTTTCTCATTCAGTCTGGTTTGACAAACAGATTCACGTTTTCCATAAATTTCTTTACTATATATCTGTCACATAGATATTATTTATTTTAATTAAATTTTCGATATCCTTTTTAACACATGTGTATCTTATTAATTTTAGGCTGGGTAAATATGCCGAGGAGTTAAAACTATTTATACAACAACTGCTAGATCCTACTTCAAGAGTTACAGCTGATGTATACTCTTTCATGTTTCTGTGTGATTTTATAAACTTCTTTGTGATTTTATTTGGATTTAACGCCTTTGGAGTAAGTATATTTTCCGAATATTTGTCTTAGTATAAATTTACAGCAATAGGATTATATAATTATAAAAATAATATGTTTGCATCTCCCGAAACTCTTGAAAATACTCTTTCCCTAATAAAACTATAAGTGAAATTATAGTGAAAACAACTCTTTCGTGTACAGTTGATTGCAAAGCTAGGGTGCAGACCAGAATGTCAAGATTTTTTTAAAGAGTTATTGTGTCTCCTATTGCAACATCGGCATCATGCAAGAATAAAAACGGACCTAATTCAAGCTCCCACAGCCTTATGCCTTAATAGTAGGATTTAAAAGGATGGGGCTGCAGATTAATATAAATATTAAAGCCGTCTAAATAATTCAGAAGTCAGCATTCATATCAAAAAGTATTTTAAGTTCACCGCTTCGAATGCCTTAACAAACCATGAAGACATAAGCATAATAGGAGTCATAGTTAAAGTTAAGGTTTCTTATATATGTAAACTTAATGATACATAACACAGGATATATTGTAAATTTCTTGATTAAATTGCAAACTGGCGGAAAGCAGATTGATGATCTTTTTATTAGCCAAAACTTACAATAATTCCTTCTTCTTCAATAAAAAAAATAAACAAAAAAAGTGTTTAACTTGTTGATTCTCGGAGCCGTAATGCCCGAAACGAAAGCGCAACAGCGCCTGAAAGCGGAGCAGAGCAAAACATGCTCTTTGAAGACGATGACATTAGAGGAAGTGTATACTACACCACAGTCCGGCTGTATGCGGAACGTATACAACGGTAAACAAATTAAATAAATTTGTGAATTGATGTAAAATATTTTAAGTACCGGCTTACCGTTACAATATGCAGGGGAGCAGGATGTGCATAAGTTCAATTCCCATGTGTCTTAAGCGAAAGATTTATAACCAATGTTTTTTGCACGTACAAACTTATGGAGTAGAGACTTTAACCCTGACGCAAAGATCCGAAAATAAACTCAGAGTTACACACCGAACAATGAAACATGCAAGGCTGAGCGTGAGCCTTCGAGACCACATAACAAACCAACAAATCAGGCAAAGATCAGGCGGTGAAGATGTCATCGAAAGAATCACGACGCTAAAGTAGAACTGGGCAGGGCACTTAGCCTGAAGACAAGATCAATGGTGGACAAGATAAATCATAAAATGAAGGCCCAGAAACTATAAAAGAAGCATAGGACGACTTAACAGGTCTCCGACGTGAAAAGAGTAGTGGGAACTCGCTACAAACGACCCAGTGTAGAGAACATTGGAAGATATTGAGGAAGGCATATATACTGCCGTGGACGTGATGGTTAAATGATGATAATTGTATTATATCTTCCTTGTGGTGCATCCCACCGGGAAATCTTAGCAGTTGAAGCGGGTTTATTTGTGTCAATAAAAAAATACATAATCGTTCGATAATAATCTAAAACTTCATGCTAAATTAAATGTGAGTGATGTTTCTTGTCAACGAGCGCTGGTATCGCTACGCATACATTTTACTCATATTAACAATATTTTTTGTTTTAACCGATATTTAATTAGGTTTATGTTTACAGACACAGCAAGATGGAAGTGTTTCTGACTATTTAAAAGACAATAAAGTTCCACCTCTATTTCTTTTTATGCTAATATTCCAGTTTATGTTGATCATTATAGATAGAGGAATATATCTAAGAAAAAATATTCTAGGAAAAATAATCTTCCAATTTCTCCAAATTATTATACTCCATGTATGGTTATTTATTTTGTTCCCAATTATAACTAAGAGGTGAGTACACTGTGCTATATTTTTTATCTGAGTAATACGTATACCGTATTTAAACATGTCTGATAAATTAATTACTATTAAACTGGGAATAAGCCACAATTAAAGATAAAAATACGTTTATTGACGTTTCAATTTCCACTTCGGAAATCGTTCTCAAAATACAAACAGTAAATTAAACAAATTTTGTTTTTTGTTACATAGTGAAAAATTCTTCTAATAATTTAATTTTATCTGACTCATTTATATTGACAATTCAGACATACATTATGCATTTTAAAGTAGACGACTTTAAAATGATATTGCCAATATTGTTGAGTTGCGCTCCTGGGACGACTTTACTTATAAGATAGTTCATTCGATTACATGAAATCAACTTTAACTTGAGAATATCCGTCAGAAAAAAATCATAGCATATAATTCGTCTTTAAAAAGACAAACACATGACATGATGACAGTAAAATTCTCCTGTTAGTGATTCCATAGTAAATTATGAGGGAAAAACCAGGAAAAAAACCTCATAATACTATCCCGACATTGTAAGTATTTGGTCGTGAATCTAGTTTACCTTCAACAAACATCAAAATTCTGATTTTATATCTTACGGTATTTAAAAAACATAAATGATGTATCCTCTATATGTTACTGACTTACTAATATTGGTATTTTCTTATTAATAACTTCCTCTTTCAATATTGGTAACCAGATCCTACTACATTCTGCCGAGGAATTTGCGACACAATTGGCCTCATTTAGCGTAATTAGAGCCGCTTCTTTGATTTTTCTTTTTTTACCGTCCGTTTCTTTTAGGACTACATTTGAATTATTCCATTGAACCCTATGTTCATTATCCCATGCGTGTTTACAGATTTGAGATCTATCAAATTCCCTATTTTTAATATAAGATTGATGTTCACTTATTCTAACATTTAATGGCCTTGATGATTCACCTAAATAAAACTGATCGCATTCACAAGGTATTTTATAAATGCAATTCTTTGTCCTTTCTTGTTCATTGTTAGGTTTGGTTTTGGACAAAATAGATCTCAACGTGTTTGTTGTTTTGAATGTTGTTGAAATGTTGAATTTATTTCCTATCCTTTTAAGTTTTTCTGATAGTCCTTTTATATACGGTATTGTTATTTTCCTCATATTATTCCTTGTGTATGCTGTAGGATCTCGTTCCAAGTTGTTCTGTTCTATTCGATCGAGTGAACATCCAGGAAAGGTAGAGTGTTATTATACTCCTTTTCCATGGTGAATGTTATCGTCTCTTCTTTATCGTTTATATCATTTAGGAATGTGTCCAACAACTCTGATCCATGAGGCCATATTGAGAATACATCATCTACATACCTCCACCATACTGTGGGTTTGAAATTTTGTTTAGAAATGATATTTGTTTCAAAATCTTCCATAAATATTCATAAATCACATTCCTAAATGATATAAACGATAAAGAAGAGACGATAACATTCACCATGGAAAAGGAGTATAATAACACTCTACCTTTCCTGGATGTTTTAATCTCTAAGAACGATACTGGATATGAGACTCAGGTGTATAGAAAACCAACACACACCAATAGATATTTAAATTTCAAATCAAATCACAATATTAATGTAAAAAAGGGAATAATTAAATCCTTATACGATAGAGCCAAAATTACTTGCTCTGACGAAAATTCGTTCTTGGAGGAGAAACATTTGTTAACTTCTGTTTTATTAAAAAATGATTATCCTTTATCGTTTATAAATAAGGAATTTTCAACAATCGATCGAATAGAACAGAACAACTTGGAACGAGATCCTACAGCATACACAAGGAATAATATGAGGAAAATAATAATACCGTATATAAAAGGACTATCAGAAAAACTTAAAAGGATAGGAAATAAATTCAACATTTCAACAACATTCAAAACAACAAACACGTTGAGATCTATTTTGTCCAAAACCAAACCTAACAATGAACAAGAAAGGACAAAGAATTGCATTTATAAAATACCTTGTGAATGCGATCAGTTTTATTTAGGTGAATCATCAAGGCCATTAAATGTTAGAATAAGTGAACATCAATCTTATATTAAAAATAGGGAATTTGATAGATCTCAAATCTGTAAACACGCATGGGATAATGAACATAGGGTTCAATGGAATAATTCAAATGTAGTCCTAAAAGAAACGGACGGTAAAAAAAGAAAAATCAAAGAAGCGGCTCTAATTATGCTAAATGAGGCCAATTGTGTCGCAAATTCCTCGGCAGAATGTAGTAGGATCTGGTTACCAATATTGAAAGAGGAAGTTATTAATAAGAAAATACCAATATTAGTAAGTCAGTAACATATAGAGGATACATCATTTATGTTTTTTAAATACCGTAAGATATAAAATCAGAATTTTGATGTTTGTTGAAGGTAAACTAGATTCACGACCAAATACTTACAATGTCGGGATAGTATTATGAGGTTTTTTTCCTGGTTTTTCCCTCATAATTTACTATGGAATCACTAACAGGAGAATTTTACTGTCATCATGTCATGTGTTTGTCTTTTTAAAGACGAATTATATGCTATGATTTTTTTTTGACGGATATTCTCAAGTTAAAGTTGATTTCATGTAATCGAATGAACTATCTTATAAGTAAAGTCGTCCCAGGAGCGCAACTCAACAATATTGGCAATATCATTTTAAAGTCGTCTACTTTAAAATGCATAATGTATGTCTGAATTGTCAATATAAATGAGTCAGATAAAATTAAATTATTAGAAGAATTTTTCACTATGTAACAAAAAACAAAATTTGTTTAATTTACTGTTTGTATTTTGAGAACGATTTCCGAAGTGGAAATTGAAACGTCAATAAACGTATTTTTATCTTTAATTGTGGCTTATTCCCAGTTTAATAGTAATTAATTTACAATGCCACAAGAAAATAGCTTCAGAACAATATGTCTGATAACTTAAATTATAGACTACATTAATGCTTATAGGCTACGTTTGCTGTCATGGGCTGGTGGGTGTGACTTTAGTTCAAATTTGGTATGTTTCATGTTTATTTAAATGAGAATTGGATATTGGTAGTAAGCGGACAATATTCGCATTTACAACTTTAAGTCCAATATATGTGTATTATTTTATTTTGATATCCTAGTGATGCTCTTTTTTAATTAAATATCTAGGTATTATTATTTTAATTTGTTTGATGAAGTAATTTTTTGTCTAGAGGTTCCTCTTATTACTTTTATTTCTAGAACATCATCATTATTCCCTTTGCCTTTCCCCATGTGGTGTCAGCTTCTCTGATTATTTTCCTTACATACTTTTCTGTTCTGTGTCATATTAACGTGAATACCTTTTACACACATATCCTGTCTCCACAACTCTAGTTTTTTTCTCCAGTTCTCTCTCAAACTTTTTCACCAAAAGAAAATATCATCTACATACATTAAAGACCAAGAATCTCTCGTTAAAGTTCAGCTGTTATCTGATCCATCACGAATGAGAATAAATACAGGTTTAACACGGAAACCTAAGGAAGCCCTACTTTCTCACAAAATTTTGCCAGTTTCACCTGCATTCGGTTTAGCACTAGTTGTGTACTAGTCTACAAAGTCTTGCGCCACTCTCACCTGTTCAGCTGGCACTCCTTTCCTACTTAACTTCCACCATAGTAGGTTTCTGCTAACTTTGTCATATGTCTTCTCAATATTAATAAATACTATATGCAAGTCTTTCTCTTTCACTCTAAATTTTTTCATTAGCTGTCCTATAATAAAGATTCCTGTTGTGGACCTGCCTTGCATAAATCCAAATTGTCTTTTATCGATTTTGATTTCTAGATCCTTGCACACTATAATTGTCAACAAAATTAGGTAAATGTATACTGGAAATGAATATTGAAACCAAATAAAACAATAAATAACTATGTTTAAAATTTCTTTAATCTGGAAAATCAAAGCAGGGGGATCCTTGTTGGTGCAGTGACGAAGGTAAAACCCTCGAAACCTCGCTTAGAACCCAGTACATCCCGATTTAAAAATACAACTCATAATATAAAAGTCTACAAACATCATTACTTAACATGGCTTTAAAGCGAGCGATTTATGTCTCCATATTTCTTTTATAAGCTGTTGTAAAGAGGCATGAACAATGAACCTAAGTGTTACGAGAAGGTTGGAGACCTTCGAGATGTGGGTGTTTAGAAGACTCCTGAAAACACCGTGGAAGGACCATGTCGCTAAGCACTATTAAGTAGCGCAAACCATGTCATCTAGGACATGTATACCAGGAAAGATATTATAAGCTCTTGAGGTTGTTGATGGAGGGGAAATTGAAGAAAGCAGAGGTCCAGGTAGAAGATGTTCATGGTTGAAAAACATCAGAGAGTGGACGGATCTCGATACACTATCGTTGTTGAGAGCCGCACATGATGGAAAAAGATTTGTCAGAATTATTGCCAACCTTCAGAAATGAAGTACACTCTAAAAAGAAGAGCCATGATTGAATCTTGATTCAATAATGATTTAATTGATTCAATAATGAAGGTTATTTATTACGGGTGATTTTTTCTGACTGACTTTTTAACTACCTCTTCAACAAGAATCGTTGGTGGCTCCCCTTCTATCTTATCTGTTTCGTCCGTTTCGCTTATAAGAATCGTTGGTGGCTCCCCTTTTATCTATTTCGCTTCAAGGTTTTCTTCTTCGTCCTCTATGTTACATACTTGATTAAAATGTTCCACCCATCGATTTAATACGGCTTTCCTTGCCGTTAATAGATCTTCACTCAAGATTTTGCATTGGTTTGTCTTCGTCTTGATTTCTTTTCTGTTAGTGATAATTGTCTCATAGAATGTTGTGAATTATTTCTTTCTTTCTATATATTTAAGTTCTTTATCACATTCTTCTAAACGATAAATACGCTCTGCTACACGTTATCAAGCAAGGAAGAGAAGAGGGTAGAAAAGGCTTGGACAGAAAGAAGAAATCTGGACTGAGGAATATCAGAGATTGGACTACCCTCAGTGTTAAACAGATATTTCACGTTGCAAAAGAGAGGGAAGCGCTTAGAGAAGTGATCGGCAACCTTCGTTGGCGGCAGACGGCACAATTATAATAAGAAGAAGAAGTTCATTATTTATGTAGCGCTTTTGTTTTTTATGTATTCTCTTCTTTTTATATGGTAATGCTCGACTATGGGTGGGGTATACAATTTTGTGAGAAGAGAATATTTACAACACACACAAAAATCGAGAAGATTTATATTATTAGAAGGTTCCTTTGAAACACAATGTGAGTCAAAATTTATACCTCATATGGATTCAGTTGGATTCATACCTAAGTGAAACGTATTCTTGTTTCATCGGCAATTTCTTTCTCTGTCAAATCAAATGCAGTGCACAAACTTCGAGCATAGTCGCTTATGTACATTATTACTATTGTATTATGTGTTTTAACGTATACCTAAAGTATTTTGGCAACTATTTACTATCATTGGTTGAGATTAACCAAAGAGATGCCCAGATTTAATTAGGGGCAAAAATATACTCATATACTGCCAAAGACCTTTCGCGGCATCATTCAAAAAGTAAGCTTTAATCATTACGATCCAACAAAGAGTTATTTTAAATTCTAATATTAGTAAAGTATTCCAATTTTCGCCGAAGTCAATTTCTAATAAGAAGTGGGAGGCGTCTTTTCTTAATTAAAAATATTCATAATCTAAATGCTTTTTTTTTAATGTGTCAAAACATTTGTTGAATGATATTGTCATTATATCATATTGTCATTACTTCTGGCAAACACTTTTTATTCGTTAGAGGAATACTTGCAGGCATCTTTTTAACAATCTGTATGTTTTTGTGTATATTTTATGTTTTATGATTGTGCTTATAGTTTTTACTTTTTTTTTTACTACCTATGTAACTATAGTTTTTTAGATTGTACTTTGACGCATTTCAATACTTGTAAAAGTCAGATGAAATAAAGAATATTGATTGATTGATTGATTGATTGTATACGTTTAAACTGTGTATTTATATTTTTAGTGCTTGTAACACCTTATTACCTCCACAAATCTACTATATAGCCAAATGTAGCTACCTCCTACTATCCGCATACCAAATAAGATGTGGATATCCAACAAGAATCCTAGGAAATTTCCTATGTAAAGGATACGGTTATATAAATATGTTCCTATTCAAAGGTTTTATGTTAGTACCATTTTTGTTTGAATTACGAACTTGCATGGACTGGATGTGGACGGAAACTTCCATGGCAATTTTCGATTGGATTAAACTAGAGGATATTTTCCAACACATATTTTTATTAAAGGTAAGTTTTGAAAATTTGTTACACTAATATGTTTTTGATAGAAAGTTCTATAACTTAAATCAATTAAAATCATTGTTTTCCATATACTGAATTCGGGGAATATAGTATCTTATTGCGTCTTTAACAGTTACTAATTAATTTTAAGATTACTTCATTTAATGCAAAATTTTAAGTTGTCTTAAATATTAGTATTAAAATATTTCGTTAATAAAATTAAAATTTTGGTTTAACCGAAATTTGAACCCTGGACCTCTTTTAGTCAAAGCCAGAATTATACCCGTAGATCATTGAGACACCATATAAGCAAAAATAATGTTTAATGTATATTTTATTTTTTAGTTAAGTGACTTTGAAAGTAAGTGGTTTTTCGAGTATCTCAGAAGAACTGCTCAGTAACAAAATTGTAGGATACGCTCAAATTTATCTCCTAATTGAGCATTATCCTTTCATTTTTCACATACCTTGATCTTAATTGACGACTGTTTATTTTCCTATAATCTTAGTGAAAATGCACAACCACAGATGATGATCTGTTATCAGTTTGTTACTAATAATAAAATCATATATTCTTAAAAATAATAATTTTAAAATTGACTTTGACTGTGAAAGAATTACCAAACAATAAATATTGGCAGATTTATCCTTACAATTAGTAGTGTTTTTTGAAGCATTTCAATGTTAAGTCTACAATAACGCACTATTTGTCGGCTCCGTTCTTCTAATAAGCAGGAATGGTATAAATCTTGGTTTTAAGAAGAAAGAATAGGAAATAAGTGCAACATCACAACAACGTTAAAAAACCAATACACTGAATTTTATTTTGTCCAAAAACATGAAGAAGAAACCGCACGACCTCTAAGTGTCAGGATAAATGAGCATGAACATACACAGAGACTTTAACAAATCACAGATATGCAACTGCTGGGGACAATGAGCACAGAGTAAAATGGCAAGATAAATCAATAGTCATGAAAGACACAGACATAAAAAAATAAATCAAAGAAGTAGCTCTTATCCTACTTAATGATGAAAAACGTGTAACAAACCCATCAATACTAAAAGAAGAAGTCAGCAACACGAATATACCAACATTAGTGGATTAATAGAAAGTCAGAGACACATCATCTACAATAATACATATACAACACACAATACATAAACAATAAAATAAAACATAACAAGTCAGTCGGCTCTGCCAACGAATCTTACGTCCTACGTTCACGAAGACACAAGTTGCGTAATCTCCGGACAATATATGACGTTATATAGCAGAATATATTGTAGTACGTTATATAGCAGAATAGCATGGTGAAAGGGGTTTAGTCTACAGCACATTAGCACATTGACACATTAAACGAAAACACACCAGCAAACCCTTACCAACTCTAAACTGGGTAGCTTTCCCGATCAAGCCAGGAGAGCAGAGGGTGTTAATAATCTGCGTATTCTAAACTGCTGCTCAAATAAAGCAACAACGGTTTATCTAGCCAGTTAAACTGCCGCTCGCTAACAAATTAATCCAGAGTTGTAGAACTGAAAAAAGAAATTTAAAAGAAAAAAAATATATAAAATGGGATGTCATAGGAATCAGCGAAGTAAGACTGAAGGATGAAGAGCTGTTGGAATTCGGGTCAGGAAACACATTCGAAACAAAGAGAAACGACAAGGAACAAATTATGGGAAAGTAACGAGTCGGCGAGAGAAATGACAGGGGGAAAGACTGATTCAGGTTGCACACTAATAAAACAGGAATTGCAAATACATTCTTTGGGTAGCACCAAATGCTACCCAAATGAGCGATGCATGCTATAAAAAGAGAGTGCGTCCCAGATATTTGATCTGGACAGTTAGTTAATAGAAATTAACAAAATTTAATCCAATGTTAGACCAGATGTTACGTTTTTCTGTGGGTTGAGATATTAAGTGAAGCAAGCGTGGCTTAACTAACATTATTTAATTCCAAAAACTCAGTTACAAATATTACAAATTGTAATTAAATTAATATATAATTATTATCGCTTACAATTCGTACTGATATCGCTTACAAAACAATTCACCGATACTAATAATCGAAGGTCGCCTTAGCGAGCTTATATATGAGAACAAATGTACTGGGACCTTACCGGGTGACGAGAACATTTCCGTATCCATAAAAACGGTACGTGGAATAATGGAATAATAGTAGGCTGTGAAAAGAGAGTTTTCGATTTAGCTAAAGCACAGGGCCGCAATCAGGTGTATGTCACATAACGTTAAGAACTCCAAAATGACTAGTTAACTAATTATATGTTTTTTTAGTGTTCCAGAAACGTTGAAGATGAATTCCCTCAACCTAGAGCCCAGGAAAAGAGTCGAGTAGTAAAATATTTTATGGGTGGAGCTTTATTAGCAGTAATTATAGGCATAATTTGGTTCCCACTAGTGTTCTTCTCCTTGGGTGACGCTGTTGGAGATCCCAACATACCGTCAGATGTTGCTTTAGAAGTTCGTATTGGACCATACGAACCAATTTACAAGATGACGGTGCAAGCTAATTCTATTTTCCAGTAAGTATATAAAGTTTATATATTAAAATTTTATGGCTTCTATTTGGAAAGTATAGTAAGCAGTAAAAGGTAATCATTGCGATTTGATATTCGCGCAGCAGATGTTTAAATCTAACTTTGATATTTGAATTATACTATTTTTGTATTGATAATTTGAATGTAATATTCCTTTTGTTAAACACATTTTAATCACTCCTAAATACCCATTATATTCTAAATAATAAAATGCGATATTTACAAACGTTAATGATCGAAATAAATTCTTCTTTTTCACGTGCCCTGTCCGTTGCGAACGTTGGCTATTAACATGGCAATTCTGATTTTGTTTGCGGCGCTTCTAAATAGTTCGACCGATGTGAGCCCGAACCACTTCCGCAGATTTTGGAGCCACGAGTGTCTTCTCCTGCCTTGCCCTCGTTTACTGTCTATTTTTCCCTGGACAATCAATTGCAGCAAACGGTACTTATCGTGTCTCAATATGTGGTCTAGATATTCAAGCTTTCTTTGTTTAATTGTATTCACGATTTCTTTCTCCTTTCCGATTCTTTGGAGTACCTTTATGTGACATGTTCGGTCCAGGATATACGAAGAATGCGTCGATACACCCACATTTCGAATGCTTCTAGTTTTCTCGTGAGCGTCTCCGTCAGCGTCCAGGACTCCACACCATACAGTAAGATCGGAAAAATGTAGCATTTAACTAGGCGTAGTGTAAATAATAATTTAATAATAAATTATGATTAATAATATAATATATAATATATAATATATATAATATATAATATATAATATATAATATATAATATATAATATATAATATATAATATATAATATATAATATATAATATATAATATATAATATATAATATATATATATATATCAGACCTAGAGAATTATAGACCGATAAGTCTGTTGTCACATCTCTACAAATGGTTTACCAAGATCATCACAAAACGTTTAGAACGAAAATTAGACTTCTATCAGTCCAAGGAGCAAGCTGGGTTTAGGAAAAGTTATGGAACAAATGACCACCTACAAGCACTTAAAATACTAATTGAAAAATGTGTTGAATATAATAAACCACTCACGTTGATTTTCATAGACTTCAAGAAATCTTATGATACCCTGGAATTACCGGCAGTATTAGGAGCATTAGAACAAAGCCGAGTAGACTATAGATGTACAAATTTGATAAAACATATATACAACAACGCAACAGCATCTGTTAAACTCCATGGCTTTACCGATAAATATAGAATTGAGCGATGAATTAGACAGGGCGACACCATCTCCCCCCAAATATTCACTGCAGCTCTGGAATATGCCTTTAAAAAACTAGATTGGGCTAAAAGGGGAATAAATATTGATGGTGAATACTTAAGCCACTTGCGCTTTGCAGATGATATTGTCATTATAGCCGAGAGTTTAAATGAAGCTCACAAAATGATGGAAGAACTAAAACAGGCAATAGAACAAATAGGCCTGAACATAAACTTTGAAAAAACAAAATACATGACCAATTTAGTTCCAAGTGATGTTATGAGGGTAGATGGGAACGAAGTATATCAGGTCTTTAGCTATATCTATTTAGAGCATGAAATTAGAATAGGAAAAGACAATCAAACTTGTGAGATCCAGCGTCGCATAGGTTTGGGATGGGCAGCATTTGGCAAGATGCGAGATATTCTAAAAGGAACGCTACCGATTTGCTTGAAGAAAAAGGTTTACAACCAATGCATATTGCCAGTAATAACATATGGTTCCGAAACAATAACTTTAACCAAACATTCTGCAAATAAATTGAGAGTAACCCAAAGAAAAATGGAAAGAGCAATGTTGGGAATAACTAGAAGAGATATGGTACCAAATAGGATAGTGAGAGAGAGGACTAAAGTGACAGATGTCATAGAAAAAATTGCACAAGCCAAATGGAGATGGGCTGGACATATAGCACGTTTAAATGATAATAGGTGGACCAAAAGACTCATAGAATGGACTCATAGACTCATAGAGAAGACAAAAGACACCGAGGCAGACCACCAAAAGGATGGATAGACGACTTAAGAAAAACAGTCGGAAATTGGATACAGAAGGCGCAAGAAAGAGAACAGTGGAAGAACATGGAGGAGACCTATATCCAACAGTGGATGCAAGAGGTTGAGAAATGATGATGATGATGAATAAATTATTATTTAAATATTGTTGATAATAATTTTCGTTCGAAAATAGAAAACATTTATAAATTATTAATGTTTTATATTTTGAGAACGATTTCCGAAGTGGAAACCGAAACGTCAAAAATAATTTTATCTTAAAACTAAATTGAGGCTTATTCCCAAAAAAATAGTACTTGCAATAGAGTAATATAAAAATGCACCAAATACCTCGTTAGAAGGTACTCCATTAGAGATAGGGTGAGAGAGAGAGAGAGAGAGAGAGAGAGAGAGAGAGAGAGAGAACGGGATGACGGTTGAAGGAGGAGGTAAATAATTTTGTCCAGGAAAAGAAATTTTAGAAGTAAAAGCGACCTCTTTAAGATATTTTCTTAGACATAATATTACAAGAAATAACTCATATATTTATTAAGTATGCACTGTATATATATATATATATATATATATATATATATATATATATATATATATATATATATATATATATAAAATTGGGACCAGGACGAAAACTTCCATGAAAGATTAGCTTCCTTCATTAGTTTGAAATTATCTGGAAAATGATTTTTTCTTGAAAACGACCCGATAACAAATTTTATTTAAGCCTGTATAATATCTAAATAAATACGATGTTCTTGGATTATTATACGTTGGTAGATATACTAAGGATGTCGTTGAGTTTGGAACAATGTAGTTGATTTGTGATCTACTTTACGAGGATCAATAAAAAATGAAAATTCAAGAACCTGACATGTACTGATAATAAAAGAAAAATATGTACATTTTTTAAAACAATATTATGTAAACAAACTAACCGATTAATACAAAAGAAAGAGGAACTTATCTACAACCACTTATAATATAAATATTACTTCTACCTTAATATTGTTATATATATCATGAAACATGATATCTTTCGAAAATAAAATTGATACCTGTAGAGTTTACTTAATACCAAGTTGAATTTTCTAAATAATCTAGATCATAGACAAACTAGATCTTTGTGATTTCCCCAATTCAAATTATTTCTCATTTCAGATTTAACGAAAACCAGTTAGTAGAATTAAAAAAAATTTACAACGCTTATCAAGTATCCGAAAACTTTATATTTAAATATGAGGCTGTTGATATTGCTGCTATTAAATTGAATACGGATTCTGCTAACATCTGGAGTATATCACCGCCTGATAGACAGAGGATGCTTGCTGAAATAAATTCCAGTAAGTATTAAGTTTCTTTTCAGTAAATAAAAACATGCTACAAAATGATATGGCCATAGCATTTATAGTTAATGTGATTAATTATATTCTTTCCCCAAATATTTCTTATTCTCTTGGTAATAATTTATTTAGTGCTTATTTTTATGTTAAATATAATGCTATACAGGTTTGACTGTATTATAATACATGGTCTTATTTTTAGCAAAACCTCTAAAGGTTAGACTTGAGTATAAAATAACGCATAAGACAAGCAAAGCGGAAGACTCTGGCATAATTACACATGCAAGAGAAATTCAAATGGAAGCCAGTACGCCTACTAAGATTAATGAAGACAGAGAAAATCTTCTGAAAATGTTAAAAAATGAAACAGCAGAACCAGTGCTGTTTCCGTATTTACTGCCAAAATTTATCAAAGTAACGGATAGGGGCACAGCCGATCCTATTAGCGTATTAATGTTGGATAAACCAGGTGAGTAACATACAAAATTATCCTTTTTATTTTTTACGGGCGATGATTTCCATGAGGCGCTGAAAAATCGTGGAGAAATTAGAACTGAAATATACGATTTAACAAAAGATTGAATGTAATGCTGGTAAATTAGAGTTAGTGGAATTGTCGCAATGGAATGTCATTTGCCGTCATTTACGAAGTATAACAGTTTTTGTCGATCGGATTATGTATATAGAAAGGGAGGTGGTAAATAAATATAAATATTTGATATATCCTAATTTAATGTTAAATAAAATAGAAAATAAAACTTAAAATTTGGCCAGGTGTTTTAAAAATTTTATTTTAATAATTAAAAAATATATGTTAGGTAATTTGAAAGTAATATATAATATTTATAATTAAAAAATTTCAAAAGGCGAGGGAGGACTGTTCAGAGTAGTGTTATAAGTGTGGGAGAAAATATACGTTGTTTTTCCAAGTAGGGAAAAATAAAATACTTTGTTTATTTTTAAAAAATTGTATATTGATAGCAATTTCTCGACGATATTTTCTACATTTCTAATATAGTGTGAACAGCTTAGGCCTGTAGTATTTTGCGCTATTCGGCAAACGGTTTTCGCAATTCCTAAATGGTCTGCTGCTATGCGGTTCCTATTCGGTTCTTATTCAGTTTCTATCAGATTCGGTTCTTTTTCGGTTTCGGTTCCTATTCGGTTCCTGTTCGGTTCTTATTCGGTTTCTATTCGGTTACGGTTCTTATGCGGTTCTTATGTGATTTCTATTCAGATTCGGTTTTTAATCGGATTCGGTTCCTATTCGGTTCTTATTCGGTTCTTGACAGTTCTTCGCGATCTTCAGGGCACGCTAATATTTGGGCTGATGTAATTCATCTTTGCTGGGTCTATGCTGGGAGTGACGTTGAGGGACCGAATAAGAAACGAAGATCTGCGAAGAAGGACGAGTATTACTGATGTTGTGGAACGCATAGCGGAACTACAATGGAACTGGACAGGCCATGTAGCGAGAATGCACGATTCACGATGGACGAGCAAAATTACAAATTGGAGGCCAAGAGCAGACAAACGCAGTAGAGGAAGACCACCTACACGTTGGGCCGACGACATCAGGCGTATCACTAAAAATTGGCAACAAAGAGCACAAAATCGTGAGGAATGGAGGAGTTTAAGGGAGGCCTATGTCCAGCAGTGGACGTGATAAATAGAGGCTGGATGATGATGATGATGAATTCATCTTTTGACAGGCAATATATCCACGATGGCACCGGTTACTGAATCTGTGCCTAGCGTTGCTGGATGAAGCGGCATTTTACTTTTGCTCGGGCGTTAATTTGTGACGGGTTTCTCGACTAGACACCAGATTCAAGCACAAGTAAAACGCAAAGTTAATTTAATTAAAAATATATTAAAATAAATAACCAAAATATAATTAACTTCTATATTATTATAACATGTACAATAAAATAAAATACGAATCCTAATAAATAAAATCGATTAAGCTGCAGTCCGCTGTTGATACGTGCGAACAATAAATATTGGGATACTTGGATGGGTGAGCTAAAGGACGATAATTGGTCAATACCTAAAAACCGTAAAGACTAATGAATACTTAGTCTAGATTAGAGGTGGCCGATCGATCACTACTCGACAACGGACAGAGAACGCAAGCGATCGATCAATATTCGGTTGACGGTTGACCGATACTCAAACACCTGAGATAGGAGCTCTTACCAGATCAATACTCCGGATTGAACTTCACTCTTTGTCGGTATAAAACGGCGCGACGTTTTATATCTTTGCCGGTGTTCCATCTCCAATGCATCAATAGTAGTGGTGTGCCGCTGCTAGGAGTGCAAGCATGTGGAGAGATGGCAAGCCGGCGGTAAGCGCTGGCGATCTCAACGTTACATCATCGATAGAGAAATGTCTCAATTCACGTCCGTTGTCATCTAAGTATAAGTGATGTTCTTCGTTTATTCACACTACTTGTGGAAGTTATTTTTCCGATTCTAGCCTAGAAATCAACTCATATAATTACATTGTTTGGTTTATTGTATTTGTTAAGTATTTTTTTAAGTTGTTATTTTATGACCCTATTATTTCTATTTTTCGCTTCCTTGGGCCATAAACGCTAGTAATTGTTATATGACTATCAAATTTTCATCTTGTTTTTACTATTTACATACATAATGTATTAGTAGCTCTATTGTAACTGTCCATTTCTTGTCTATTAATACAGCTACACCGCAACAAACTCTTTAGTTTTGATCTACTCTACTGAATATCATTATGTATGTTCTCTTTTTATTTTAATAATGACGACTATGTTGGTCTTACAATTTTTTTAGTTTATTGGTTAATTCTTATTCTTTAGGTCCTAATCCTCTACAATTCCAAAATACTATTTTTTATCATTTTACATTTATCATTGACTAGCCTCTTCGTCTTAATTTTGAATTGTTAGGTCTTTTAGTTCGATGCTTCTTCTTTGAACATGTTTAATTTCTTCAGTACAGAATACTGATTTGTGGGTAGATAAGTCGAATAGCCTCACAACGAGCTTCACCTTTCTTACCTTTCTTACTCGTAAGAAATCCAGTTAGTGTTTACGTGGCACTCAAAATTTGGAAACGTAATAGTAAAATATGTTAGCACGGCTGGATTATATTTATATAACCTCCGACGTATTCGTTGGGATCAGTGGGAACATTTCTCAGAATTTTATTGCAGTGAGAACCACTTTTTAGGGATTGTAATTTAAAAAATAATTTAAAACTAATCTTTTTGTAGATCACAGAGCCACGGAATATCGAAATTTATCCATCAGACTACTTAGAGAGATGGAGGGAAATTTGGAGCAATCATGGTGGAAAGTGAACGAAATGTGCGATGACTACAATTACGAAACTTTTTTGGATAAAATTCCGCTAAATGATTGCAAGCAGTCTGTTATTTTATATTCCTTTAACGACAAAGTCTTTCCGCCAACATTAAACATTCTTACTCAGGGAGGGTAAGTTTCTAAATATGTTTTATCGATTTAGTGTTTTTTACGATGAATTAGGATGAAGATAACAATATTTTGGTGTAACAAGCTTAAAACTGGAAATATTTAATATACAATTATAACAGCCATTTACGCGCCAGAGAAGGAAACAATGACCAATTAAAATCCTTTTGTCAAGATTTACAATCTGTTGTATGTATTATGTACAATAAAAGTGACCAGTCGACTAAGATCTACAAAATGAGTTATAAATATGTACTGGGATATACACTTGGATTAAATAGTTCATATTTCCTTGTTGCTGTATTTTGAATATGGCAGAATAAACAATGATTTATCACGCCTTATTAGCAGACGACTTACAGTATAATTTATATTTCATTGGATCGTAATATTATGTCAATTGACTTGATTATTCTGAAACATATATTCCCTAGTTTAAAAAATAGAAATATAAAAAAAAGAGCAACAAGAATAAGACAAAAATTAATAAGAATCCAATTTACTACGTTTTTTTTATAAAAGCTCATCCAAAGAAATGTTTGTTCAGATAAATATATATAATTGAAAACTTCATTAGCTTAACGAAATAAAATTTCTTGGTAAGTTGATTCAAGACAACTGAGCGAGACATGTGCGAAAACTTAAAAGATCTTGCACTAAAGTATGAATATAATCAAATTATTCTCATACAATACTTAAGCAGAAAAATAGACTCTGGCTCAATTGTGTATTACCTACTGTGTCGTCACGGAATCTTTATAACAACTAGATGAAAAAAAAAAGATGTAACATTGTAAAAAATATACAAAATCCAATTGAAATTGTACTCAGAATTTTGCATACTGTTGTTAATAATGTACAAAATAACACACGATACAATGAAAATAAAATCAAAATAATAATTAGGAAACTGAACACACTGTGCCCAACGCTAAGGGTCAAAAATCATTACAACTAATAATTTATAATTAAAGATAATAAGGATCATTTTTTGAGATACAAATATCCTAACTGTTAAGTTGAATCAAAAAAGGCACTTTCACACAAAATTCCATATGAATCTGTTTAATAGTTTCGGAAATTAGCGTAAAGGACATCGTGGCATGAAATTTATGTATACAGGGTATCGAACGAGTAGGGAAACATGGTAATTTCTCTGACAGCAATTTAAATATATTTATGAAATTTTAGGATCATGCATGAGATGATATTCTGCATTTTCTATAGAGTATTTCAAATTATGTGACGTCAGCGTTTAGCGTATCGCCGCTATCTTGATTATGTAAATGGCTTAGATCGAGTAATATATCATAGAAAAGCTTATTTTTTTCTTTTTTCAGCAATATCAATGAGTGCCATATTACTAATGTAATTCACCATATCACTAATATAATACAAGAAATATTTCCAAAGACATAATTCATGTAATTATTGAACAATTTATATTAATTTTGAAAAGTAACAAATCGATAAAAAAGAATGCGTTTTTTACAAAAGGTGCTCAAAATTTTGTCCGTCTGTTTCTTGGCAATAATACAACATATCTTGGAAGTTTCGAATAGAAGCATTAATAATTTCTGGAGAAATTGCCTGCATTTTAAGATGTATGCGATCCTTTAAATCATTTAAATTAGTTGCTTTGTTTACATATACCCGGTCCTTAAGATAGTCCCATAAGAAAAATCAAATAGAGTCAAGTCAAGAGATCTTGCCGGCCATTCAGTTGCATCTCTTCGATCACTACATCTCTGGGGGAAAACAGTATTCAAATATTGCCTAACAATTTTATAATAGTGTCCAGGTGCGCCATCCTGTTGAAACCATACTGCCATATTTGGAAATAAATTGATTATTTCAGGAATAATTTGATGCTGGAGAAAATTAAGGTATTTTACACCGTTAAGTGCACCATCACCTATTCGTCGACTTCAAGGCGCATACGACAGTGTCAAGAGAACAGTGCTATACCAATCAATGCATGAGTTTGGTATACCAGAGAAACTTATCGATTAACGAGAATGACAATGTCTAACTTAGAAGCCACTGTTAGAATACAGGGAGAGAATTCTAGATCCTTTGAGATAAAGGATGGACTCAGACAAGGGGATACTCTGGCTTGCCTCCTAGTTAATATTGCCTTAAAAAAGGCAGTCCGAGATACACGAATTAGGGATAGCATATGTGATTACATTGACATTATAGGGCGTAGCAAGCGAGATGTTGAGCAATATCTCCTAGAATTGGAAACAGCGGTGAAACAGGTCGGTCTAGTCATCAACGAAGACAAAACCAAGTACATGTTGGTTACAAAGGATCCGATAGCAAATGAGGAACGAGAAACAGTCTTTGGAAGTCCTACCTTTGGACGTGTTGGCAACTTCACATACCTTGGGTCGCTATTGACTGCTACCAATAAAACAAGCGAAGAAATCAAAAGACGAATAAATCTTACAAATAGGGCATACTATGGACTCCAAAAGTATTTCCACTTAAGAAACATTCAAAGAAGAACTAAAATTATTATATACAAAACATTGCTGAGGCTGGTCCTCACATATGGAGCAGAAACATGGACTCTAACGCAGAAAGATGAAAGACTTTTGGGAATATTTGAGCGTAAAATACTCCGCAAAATATTTGGAGCTATAAACGACCAAGGGCAGTGGCGCAGTTGTATCAGCTCTTTGATGAGCCAGATGTCATAACGTTCATTAAAACACAGCGACTTAGATGGGCTGGACACATAATACGAATGCCAGAAAATACGATTGCTAAAAAGCTAACCACAGGAACACCTTTAGAAAGAAGAAGCAAAGGCCGACCGCGAATTAGGTGGTTAGATGGAGTTGAAACCGACTTACGGATATTAAAAATCAGAAGATGGCAACATGTTGCCAGAAACCGAACAGAATGGCGACGAACCTTAGAGCAGGCCAAGATCCACAGAGAATTGTCGAGCCAAAGATGATGATGATGAAGTGCACCATCAATAAAAAACGGACATATCAAATGTTTTTTTTACTAAACCAGTCCAAACATTAACTTTTTGTTCATATTGTGTGTGAGTTTCATCCATCTAGTGTGGATTTAAATCTGACCAGTATTTGCAATTGTGTCTGTTAATAGTATCGTTCAAACAGATGTCGTTTCATCACTAAATACAAGGGAATCTAAAAAATTGTTTTGTCTGTCCATTTTCTTTCTAATCTCAGATCAAAATCATCATCTGTTAATTCTTGCTGGTTTCGAATTTTATAAGCGTGGAACTAATTTTTATGTAAAATGTTTTGTACTGTCTTCCTGCTAATACTATGATTTCTAGATAGTTCATACGTAGATGTTTTAGGATTGTCTTAAGCATCTAGAAAAACATCTAAAGTCTTATCTTATTTGTTGCAGTTTTTGATCTGCCAGATTTTGGGCGATCCCGTACATTACCAGTTTCAATTAATTTATTAAAAATTTTAGAAACCGTTGATCTATTCATAGGTCTTTCAAGATTTAAACTGTTAGAAAGTTAACTTACTTCTTTACGTTCTTGACTTCTAACGTACTTTATAGGTACGTTTTATATTACCATAACAAATTAACTAGTATCTTCATTTTTTTCTGGTAATTTTGGAATTATTCTTAAATTACTTTTAAACACTGCAGATATAACAAAAAAGTAAGACTACTTTAAAACTTAACATTTTATTGTTTGCAAAATGTTTTTTGATATTTTTTCAGTGCCTACTACTGGTTTTAGTTTGAGATGTACTAACAATAATAAAAAATAATAAAAAGATTAATAAAGTAATACAATATAATAGAATTTTTTATGAGTAATGTGGTACTGTTTTGATATTGCTGAAAACAGGAAAAAATAAGCTTTTCTATGATATATCACTCGACCTAGGTTGCTATCTAAAAAAAATTGAAATAAATTTGAAATATTCTCTAGAAAATGCAAAATATATCATTTATGGTCCTAGAATTTCATAACAATTTGGAACTAGATTTCATTATGCCATTAAATCCAACGTTTCGGTGGGTAACCCTTGCCTTTATGAAGATTCCAAAATGTATAAGAGATTGAGAACAAAAAGTTATTGCAAAATATATAACAAGAACTTACCAAATCATAAAGCGAGACACTGACATTAATAAATTGACAGAGGTAAAAATTGACAACTGATATCTCACTGTTTACTAGTATTAATAATTATATAATTATTTTTATATGGACGTATCGTTGATGTTTTCGAAAAAGGTAAAGTGGCGATATGTTATAACTTTAAGAATTTTTTATGGTGTTACATTTATTATTATTTAAATCAGATTGAAATATATTTATATAGAATATATTGGGCAAATTAGTCAACTGATTCAATCCAGAATTCGTTCTCACAAATATGACAAGAACAACATCACTGTGCCCAAAAAGCATGAGAATAAGAAGCATACATTTTACTTCGAAAACATCAAAATTTTAAAAATCTAGCAGAACAAAAAGAAGAGGGAGATATACGAACCAATAAAAATGTAAAAGAACCACTAACGCAATCAATGACAAAAAAGGTACAAGGAATCTAAATAAAATATTAACTTAAGGTTTTAACATATATCCACTTTACATTTTTCGAAAATACCAACGATACGCCCATGTAAAAATAATTATATATTAATGACAGGAAACCATGATATATTAGATATCAATTTTTACCTCTATCAGTTTATTAATGTCAGTGTCTCGCTTTACGTTTTGTTAAGTTTTTTTATAAATTTTACTATACTTTAAATAACTTTTTGTTCTCAATCTTGTACATCTTAAAATCTTGACAAAGGCAAGGATTACCTGCTGAAACGTTGATTTTAATAGCACAATAAAGACTAGTACCAAATTTAATATTACTTATTGAACTTATACCCAAGAAATACCAATTTTATATTAAATATAGTATGGTTCAAGAAAGTCCATAAAGCATATATATTATATTAATAAATTATAATATACATGATTAGTGTTATTAATTATTTTGTTAATCGTATTGCTTTTTTTTTATACAGCATCATCGGCCTTTATACAACAATCGTTCTCGTTGCATCGCGTATACTTCGTGGCTTCTTCGCCGACGGCATGGCTAAAATCATGTTCGATGATCTACCCATGTCGACCGTGTCCTCAGGCTTTGTCTGGACGTTTACCTCGTGAGAGAGGCGCATGAATTTGCTTTAGAGGAAGACCTCTTCGCCAAACTTGTGTTCCTCTTTAGGTCGCCGGAGACGCTCATTAAGTGGACGAGACCTAAAGAGGAAGTAGCGGACGATGACGATCCTGAAGGCGATGGGGATTAGAGTTCTACTGTAAAAGGGAAGGATTGGTTATACACGTATTGATCTCTAAACGAGATAACTTTTATTGTATATTGATTGTAGGGTTTTTCGGAGAGATATTTTTAAAATGCTAAAGATATGTGCCGTGAATAGTTTTAAGTATCATTAATATAAAGAGAATATATTATGTTTACACATAATCGATAATGGGATATTAATTGATTTAAACTTGATCGTGGAATTTTTTCTATTCTTTTTATATTTAGACTATAATCGGGTCTGAAAAACATGTTCATAATAAATAAATTTGATACTTTTAATCAAAAGTAAACCAAAATGTAAAATTTGTTGATTATATAGCTGAGTTTTGTTGATGACATTCGAACAGGCTTTTGAAAAGCTAATATAATATTGCTTTTTAAGGCGGCTTTCTAATGGGTTTATTACTCCATCCCTTTTACAGTTGAAAGTTATAGTATACGTTCCAAACCTATTCCATAACTAAATAACGATCATAATAAGTGACTGGATAAATTGAGCATTTAAAACATATATGTATAAAAAATCGATGGCAGATTGAATGACAAAAAGCTGATCAATAATGTATATTCATTGTGGAACGGTATCTTCCTCAAAGATGCTATGATCTCATGAATTGATTTCTACTACCGGTTTATTATTATCTGTCCAGCATGTGCACGGAAACATAATACTTTGATAATACATTTTGGAACGTAGCTATTAATTTGGTGGGGTTTTATTTGGGTTTTTGATGACGATTTTTAAAGTATATTCGAAATCAGGGATAAACATATCGATTTACTTAATACGTGTAATTTTTATTTAACGTCATTAAAATTGTATTTCACTTACGAATAGATACAAAACTATAGCTGTTTAAATCTTTATTGGTAAAGTTAAATTTTAAAATACCTATTTTACATATTTTATCCTTATAAAGCTCATATTCATTCCAAGAGATTTGGAATGTTTTTTTAATATTTCAACTTTTTAACGCCGTTTTCTCTGTGTTGTTTTTATCTTTACTTTCTTACCACGCTTATTTAAGTCTGTATTTCATGTATTTCTGTGTTCGAATATACTCTATTGTTAATTATATATATTTAGGTATAAATATTGTATTTATAAAAAATTTTACGAAAAAATTTCCGGAAATACCATGACTTAATTTAAAAAAACATTGCTTTGTTTAATTGTTACATGGTTTTCTAATTTGTTCTGTTAATATCGCTTTAGTTTTCGCTTATAATCTGTGATTTTATTGCTGTTCTGTTTTAGATTTTCATGTAGGTTTATTTAAGTTAAAAGTAATGGCAGTCAATGCAGGTCATTTTAAATCGTTATGTAATTTTGTTTAAATTGTATAATTTCTATAGTAAAAGGATATTTTATCCGTATTTTGATTTAAATTAGACATAGAATAAAATTAAAATTGGATTGCATGGAAGGGATCTTCTTTATGTTTTCATTTCTTTTCCTATTCATTTATGTAGCTCTTTTTATAATTGATACCTCAAAACATGCTCTGAAGATTATAAAAGCTTCCTTTTACGTAGTACCTACTATAGGAGGAGAAATATCATACATTGTAATTCGGATAAATTCTTTCAAATAGCCGCGAGCTGTATTGTAGAGAGTTTATAGTAATGAACTGAAAGGCTAACTGACTTAATGTAAAATATCCAGTAGGTTAAACATGTATTTTTATTATATTTATAGTACAATTAAACTATAGCTAGGATTAATATTACTAGAAAGATTAATATCAATATTATTAAGTGGCCGGGTTGAAGCGCGCCGAATTTGGGTACACCGAGCTGTTGACTTTTTCTCTGAAGTACTCATCAGGGCTTTCGATTACTTCACTTTCACGCGCGGTTCAACCCGAAAACTAGTTTGGGTTTAATATTAATTTATCTAGTAATATTAATTTTATATATGAAAGAAAAATTGTTAATAAAAGTTGAAGGCATTTTTAAGATACATATTTTAAAACTATTGACAAATATATAGGTGGCATAATACAGTGTCAAACCAAAGTTATTCTTTTTTTAATAGTATAGTTTTATTCTGAATTTATAAACTTAGATAATCTCTATGTTTTCCATCGTGTTTTTCATTATGAAAAAATATTTAATTTTCATCAAGGTTTTTTGTCTTGTAAAAGTTGTATCCAAATGTATGGTCGCTTTTACTTGAAAATCTTAATTAATTGAACTCATTGAAGATTAAAAAACGAAGCAGTATAAGTTATATGACATGAGTAAATTGTAAACTGACACTTGTATCTGAGATAATTGATCACAAACACAGGGACACTATATTAGGAAATAAAAGCATAGCAACGATTGCTATGGGGAAGATGATCAAAATATTTCAAAAGCCGTAAAAATGAAACTGCTTAACTAAATGCAGGTGAAATCTTCTGCCGAAAAAGAATGTTACGAATTCCACGAACCGATTTTAAAATAAATAAGTCGCCTTTAAGTGTACTAAAGATCAATAAGCGACCTTCCGGCAAAGTCCAACTATGACAACAAAAAGATCTCTAACAAGAAGAAGTCAAATCGAATGCATGATCCGAATTGAAACTACCAGAGAGAGAAATATATGGAGATGATGGACCCCATACGATATCACGACGCCCACTACATTCGCTACATTCTTTATTGATAAGAAATTAATTATTAGTATTCATCTATAATTATACATGGAGTCGAATTCAAACTCAAACACAAAATAATATACAGTGTATTCCATTAAAAAACTTCTTTGGTTAGGCTCTGTATTATGAAAGAACCTGTATATTTGTCACTGATATACTGATATATGTATATATCAGTATATACACACACTCTCATATATATATATATATATATATATATATATATATATATATATATATATATATATTTGAATATTATATACTTAGAGTGTACAAATCGTTGATTCTTAAATATGCGAATATTCTTCTTCTTTCAGTGCGAATATTGGCAATTCCGAATATGCGAATATATTATAAATAATTTTTACTCATATTTTAAAGTGACATACAATGACTACTGTAACAATTATGTTTATTTTATTTCGAAGTCGTTATTTTGTGGTAATATTATTGTTTTGTCATTTTTTAACATTTCATATCATCTGAAATTTTAAAATATCATCTCAGGTACAGATTAGTTATAAGTCGTAAATTTTTGTGTATCAAAATTATCACATGTACGTAGGTGTGTTTGATATGTTAATATAAGTTATATGCAGAGTGTAATATTTTTTATATGTTGGATACACTGCTATATGCAATCGTATTTCAGAGAAATTATGTCCTACAGTAAATTGGTACTTTCTTTTTCCTATGATGGCTTCTTTTTGTTATGTCGAATGCTAACTCCCATCGTATCTATTCGCACTGTGTTAAATAAAATCATTTACAAATCCTCTGTTGTTTAAATGGAACCAGTTTGTCCGATTTTTACCCATGAAATTTTCATTTTTTAACCATTTTATGCCATATATGTTTTCTTGGACATATCTTAGTTTCTAAAATAAAAGATAAATCTAATAATTTATATTTTAGCTTTTATTAGATAATAACGTATAATATACTTTCTTTCTTATTAAAGGACCAAGGTGTTTCTGTTTTCGCTTTTATACGTTTGATAAACATGCTCATTTCTCTTTATAATTTTAAATATCTCAGGTGTGTAATTACTTCAATAGACCTTTTTGCTATTTAAAGCTTTGAGTATTTTTATGAGAGAATATCTAAGTCTATATGTTTCAATTTCATACATGGAACTACCATTAAAATGAAATTACTTCTTCACTGAAGGGAAAGATCAGGCATTGATGTCAGTCACCAGTATAATAATACCTTTCAAGACTTTTATTACCTCTAGATGTATAGTATATCTGATCCCAATAGTAAGCCAAACTGTCAAGAAATCATTTACAGCTAATTGACAAAACAATATTTTACAGGTTATGTCAACTTATATAATTTTATTCTTTGAAAAATCATCACCATAAACATGTAATTTAAATTAGGTACAATTTATAATACGCAATCTTGTTTATAGCGTTTATATTTATTGCATTACGAATAGCTTTATTTTTCATTAGACATTGTTTTGTGCAGGCTTTATTCGTGTATTCAACTTTGAGTTCGCGAATGCGAGACTAGTTGTTGTGTACATGAGATATTGTTGTTTATTCATTTTTGAATATTTATATACAAAATGCCATTTCAGACAATATTTATTCTTTTTCGGCATCGTCTTCTCCTAATATGACAACAACATTGCATATTCTCCCGATGATGCTTTTCAATCAACTATTTGAGAAATGACTACTTTGCTTCTTGGGCTGGGAATTATTGTGTGGTAGTCTCCATTTTTCAAGTTACCTTTTTTTACTTAAGTCATCTGTATCTATTTTGTTCTACTTTAGCCCCTTTTTCAGATATATTTCTTTGTTCGTTATTTCTCTTACATTTCATCTGGTAACTTTAAACTTATCTTTTATGCCAAATTCTTTGTCCTTGACTTACCTTGTCCGTCTTTTAATAATTCCGTCCGACTCTTCTTTGTGAAAGAAGTATTTTTGAATTTCTCTGTTACAAAGGTACCAAATTGCAGTCTCTCGTATTTATTTAAACACTCTGTATATATATATATATATATATATATATATTTATATATATATATATATATATATATATATATATATATATATATATATATATATATATATATATAATAGAAAATAATATAGCGCTAATCAATACATTTTATATCGAAGAAAATATTTTTGCTACACATACTTTTGTAATTTTAATTCTTTATTTGGCCACTTATTATTCTGTTGTTTGTAATAATTTAAAAAGCTTTTTGCAACTACAATGGTAAGGGTTTATGTGAATTTTATTGTAAAAAATTGTAAGTTATTTATTGTTTTATACATCAGGAAGTTGCACATCAATTCTTAAAATACATTTTTAATGTTGTTAACTTTATTTCTCTTCCCAATTTTACTCCATTTAAGCAATTTCGATCAAAAGTGGGATTGGTGATTGAGCTGGTCTTTCAAATATTTTAGAAAAAATGAGTAATAAGACCGTTGTGTTGGTAAATGGTTGTACGATTGCAATATTAAAATTAAAAATATTGAATGATGAAAACAGGAGAAAAACAAATAGTAAAAACTTAATAAGGATGTAATGAATTCGGCATTTCATCGTCTATACGTTAAAGGGACTTTAAAATAAGTATCCAGAAGAAATTAGTTTTTAGTATTTAGACAAGTTTATAAAACTACTTTGAAAAAGCTGTTTAGTTTTATTTAAATATTTTATTTTTATTATTTAAAACTTTTCAACTGAATATGAACTCATTCAATTATTAATGTTATTTTAAATTTCTATAAATTTTCGAGCGCCAAGTAAAGGCATTCCCCTAATTACAAAAGCAACCATATACATCGTGACTTATGTGTGAAACAATTAATTTTTACTTCAAAACTTTCAATTAACTGAAAACAATCACGATAAAAACAATTTAAATTATATTACTTCTCTTAAACTTGCTTGCTGGAATTTTTTTAAATGTTTTTGCGATCCTTCACATTTAACATAAGTACAGTTGCGGTCACGGAATAGTTTACAGGTTCACGTATCTAGGAGCACATTTTTTAAATTTTTACTTCGTTTATTAAACGCACCTTTTACGTCAAAGTGACGTTGCCAGTGGTGTACTAGCTAGAATAGGTAGATTAAAATTAAAATATCAAAATATTTTACAAAATGAAAAATATAGAAAACAGTTTTTTGAATAAAATGGATTATGATCTTAATAACGAAAATAAAGAAGTCTTTTTTTTTTAATATGCATTTTATTTTAAATCTATTTTATATTAAAATAACGATAAACAATGATAAATAATAATTAATATTTGGTGGAAGCCCCATTCTTGTCAATACAATTTTGCAGTC